TTTTGGAACCTGCAGAAAAAAAGTCAACAAAATCCATCACCCAAGCCACCCGATAAGAGCAAGACAAATACAGAAAACCACATCCAAAAAAACAAACAAAAAAAAACGATGAAGAAGAAAAAGAAGAAGAAAAAGAGATCATCCTCATCACGATCATCATCCTTTGCATGCCGTTAGAGGTCACAAAGGGCTCGTATTCGATTCTTCCACTTCCTTCTATTGAATGCAACTCTCTCGATTTCTGACATGGAGTTCAGCCCAGCATGTATGGAGCAGAAACTTGGAAAACAGGCAGTGAGATAGAGAGCATAAGAGGTTTTGAGGGAAGACTTCTTAAAAGATTGATGGGGTTCACATGGGAAGATAAAATCAGCAGTTCTAGATCACAACAAATGACGGACTTTGAAGATGTAAATTTATAAATTAAAAAGCGAAGATGGAAGTGGTCTGGACACGTCCTCAAAATAAAAAAAAAGACAAGACACCGAGAAAGTCAATGCAATGGACACCACAAGTACAGCGAGGAAGAGGCAAGCCCAGAGGCACTTGGAGTCTAATCTTTGAGGCTAAACTCAAGGCTACGCAAAAGACAAAACTGGAGATAGAGAGGATGGCTCAAGATCGCATTGAGTGGCGACAGTTTTTCGCTGCCTTATGTTCCTCTTGGGGCGATGAGAATTGACTGATTGAATAATGTTCTTTTTAATAATTCCTTGGACGTCCTCTTTTTCGCAGACTGTGTGTTTCCCATATCAGTGCTTGTTTTGTAATTCTTTGCTCATTTCGTCTCAGAGTGTGCCCAGCATATATCCACCTTCTGTCTCTTATCAAAGTCAATACAGGTATTTGTCCAGTTATTTCTCTGATCTCCTCACTCTTTTTTTTTTTTTTTTTTTATCACCCCAATTTATTTTCATGATTTTTCTTAGACATTTATTTTCAAATGTATTAAGTTTTCGCTCGATATCTTTATTGTTTCTCAAACTTTCGCTGGCACATGTTAGAATCAAAATAGCGTTAGACCTGAAGATTCGTAGTTTGGTCTGAAAGCTGTATAAGTTGAAGCTCCATAAGGCTTAGAAGGCTTTTAAAGACTGTTGATGCTTTGCCGAGGAGCAACTTGCCGAGATCGACCCCCGGTAAGGCAAAATTAACACATCCTTAACCGCACAATTCATGGCGACAGCACTAGCCAGGTGGCTCTAAATTCTCAGACTCAAGGCTTCCCTGTCTACACCGCCCAAAAAAGTAGTACAGCAGACAATAGTGACAGATACAGTTTTTAATTTGCTTTTGTCAGTGCGCATCATTACTTCTTTCTTTGTATCTCCTTGCAGGTCACCATTTCTTTTTCGTTGTTTTTCGGGCATTTTTCGAGAATCACACCTTGGAAGAAATAGGGGCATCACCATGTAAACTTTCCAAAGACTGCAGTGGCTACACTGTAACCGACTTTCGCTGTGGAGATGGCACTTGGTTTTGGGGTATCTGAACGACCCTGCCAAGACCGTTAATGTCTTTCAACGATGTTATCCCGTCTGTATAATTTGATTGTGTAGAACTTGTACTGGAAGCCGCCATATTGTAGCAGCTATACGCTCACTTACGGATCGCAAGGTTGTGGGTTCAGTTTATTACAGAGCCAAAAATATTTTCAAAATAACCTTGGCTCACAGATCAGTAGTATAAGGCGGTAATACGGCGCGTATTTCAGAAATCGATCTCTCTTTATCCTTAGTAAAAGATGGCGGCCAAAAGTGATTGGTTCTTTCGTGTGGTTGCAACCACACGAACGTGTGGTTGCGACCGCCAGCATCTTTATCCTTAGTAAATATCGATCGGGGCACCCGCTCTCTTTATCCTTAGTAAATATCGATCGGGTGGTTGGTGACAGCATGCGTGACTGGGTTTCCCGGGTGGGGAAAGACATATGATGCATAAATCGATATGTTGTCTCCATAGCAACTGGTTATTCATTGTCGGTATGTTGGGGTGTGGGTATTTTCTTACGGGGAAAGGCAAATATTTCTTTAGTGCAGGGCCAGATATTGGCTAAAGTGGCGGATATTTTAAAAAAAAAACAAAATACAAAGCACCCTAGGAAATCGATACTTTGTAGATGCAGTATTTTCTTCATAACTGCAGGTGACAGGTGGTGTTATATAAAACGGGGGCAGGCAGGAACACTATTTAGGTGAGCAGCGGGGGCAGGGGACCCGGGGCGACTAGGAAGGCGGCATGATGATCGGGGATGTATTAGAAAGGGCAGATTGAACGCCGGCATCATCATCATCATCTATGTCATGGTAGCGAAGGTCGACCGCTCATGGATGGTTTGAGCTGTTGTAAAAAAGGACGACAGAATGCTGGGTGTCTGGTAATACTGTGGAGGGTCGAAGAGAAGGGGCATAATTGGCAGACTATCTGACTTTGTAAATAAGTGGGCGAAGGTTCTGATTGGTCAGTAGGCTTCGGTGGTTATTCTGCTGGAACAGTCGATTTAGGAAAAACTCGGCAGTTGGTGTCACTCAACGGGGTACGCCCGCCCGCCCGTCTGTACGCACGCACACACGCACGCCCGCGGGGGTCGTTTTAGGGGATAGATACAGAAACCTAGGAAAGTGGTTTGATGGTAGGGAGAAAGTGGGGCTGGGGCGCCATCATCATCATCATCCGCGTCGTCGTAAACTGTCCTTTTTCTTAGTAACGTTAAACCCTTCTTGGTTACTTTCTGTTTCGTAAATTAGAGACTAATAGATAGCTGTGGATAGCTGGCTGTACCTATATAAGGGGTATATATACATAACAACTACACCATTTTTATAACTAAGACAAAAATAACACAACAATATTTTTGCGTTTTATATTTTCTTTTATTCATAAAATTAAATGTTGGCGTAGACATCTTCTCTTTGCAAGTGGCCAAGGAACCGAGTCATCTAGAGAGACATCCGGTCGGTTGTTCTCGACAGTCTCAATGTGTCGGATGACATGATCCGGTATATATTCGTCCGTGTTGGGGCTGTTCTCGTCAGCGTAGGGTTCTGTGATCCTAGGTGTAGGCGGGTAACAAGGAATGGTTAGCAGCTCCAGTCGATCAAACTCTGTCAGGATCTCCGTCTTTAGTTCAAGTAGTTGTTCAAATTCTAGGCGACTTAGTGTCAGTCCTGTTTTGGTGGGAAATTTGAGATCTGCTTTACCAAAGAAACGTCTCAAGTGGAGTGCGGGTGTTCCTGTATAAAGCGAGACTGAAACAGCGTTCAAACCAGCACCCAAAGGTTTAACCACCTCGTCGCTCCTAGTCACATACACCCAACTGGTCGGGACTGTAGACATCTTCGGTAAGCGGATAACGGCGGCAATAAGTTGACGGTTGCTGCTCAGGCTGTTTATAAACCCACAGTGAGCTTGTAGAACCGGTTTAAACTCGACATGTCCGGACTTGTTTTGATGATTAAGGGCGAAACGAGGCGCCAAACTATTCGATCGTTGACGTATTGTCTATATGAAGACGAAAACGGCTGTAAAACTCGGCGCAGGCGACCACCGCGGCATTTAATCAGAATAAAATAAATAACGTATAGTCCACAAGTACTGCTCTGTAAGTCTTGTAAGGTACGAGAGTTGTAACTGAAGGGTCTGGTCGAGTGGCGATCGATGAATCTTATAATTTCGGCGTGGAAGGGCGAGAGCCCGAGGGCGTCAAAATAGGTAAAACGCCCGACGCCATCGTAGTACAGACCAAGCCAATACGAACCCGACTGGTCGCTACCATCTGCATTGATGACAAACGCTGCTGTCTTGTGACGATTGAAATGTATAGGTAGTTGATCACGGGCCAATACGTCTACTAGATGTGTTCAGCGGACAATGTGGTCAGCAAAGAGTATTTGACGTATCTGTTGCGTGTTCATGATCTTAGGCGTAGTCCAAAAGTACTTGTCGTGTCTTGGAAATTTCGAGTACAGAGTCTTGTTCAGCGTAGACTATAACTTGTAATGGTTCGGCTGTGAAGGTGGCGAACTTAAATTCTAAAGACAACGCCCCAGAGCGGGGCATCTCAAACTGGTCCCCATCCAACAGACTAGGTGAAAGGTCAAAGGCGTAGAGAGCGTACCCGTTCTTATAATGTCTGTATTCGATATCGTTACCGGCATCTTTACCTACCAGGCCCATAGCCAACATAGTGCCGAAAAAAGCTTTCACGTAGCGATTATTCTCATAGTCTGGTGTTAAGGGTTTACTGGAGACACTACGACCGTCGACACTCACGTTTAGATACGTTAATCCGAAGTGTTGGAAATCGAACGGGTTAGTCTTGTAGGAACCGTTAAAGGCTACAGAGTTAATTAGTCCAATCACTAGTCTGGTAGGTGTCTGACTCAGAAAAAGATTGTCCTGGGTGTGAGACAACATTCCTTTGGGGATAGAAATGGTTTTCAGATTCACTCGTTTCAACGGATATTTGGCATTGGTCTTGGTTAAGGCTTTCTCATGGGCTAGAGAGATGGCTGGATTTAATTTGGCTTTTCTAACCATCAAGGTAGCGTGTGTTATAATAGACTTGTAACCAACCGTACCATCATGAGCTATAAGATTGAAGACGTCTTTAGAAGGTGTAAGTTTGATCTTGACATCTACGCCATTTAAGAGGTAGCGGTCTTGGGCGAAAATGTCGGCGTGTAAGCGTCCCATCATATCAATTTCTTGGCTAGCTGTCGCCGTATTTTTAGGCCTTTATTACCAAGCTCTTGGCTGTCATCCATAAAACCCGCGGTATCGCTGAGGTACATGGCAGCAGAGAGAGGGCCTTTCTTGGCGTCTTCACCATAATTCAGGGTGGCCTCAAGATATGATCTATAATGATAACTGTTTTCGCTAGGTGTAATCAGCGTATCATTGAGGGAAACGTCGACTTAAGAAAATAAACTGTGCAGGTAATAGTTGACGGGTGCCACAGCAGCATCTGGCGGTATACTATCGCCATTGCTTAAAGTGACTTTGGCTCTGACGTGTAAAAAAGTATTGAAAAGATCCAAGTATTCTTCACTGTTTCTGGAGATGGCAAACTCTATAGGAGCTCCAGGAGCTAGCGACGCCAGTGGATGTATTTCCACAAACTGCCCCTCCTCAACCGCTGTTTGTGTTGGTGGTACGCTGAACAAATCCAAACCAGAGTGAAGACACTCACACGAACTAGGATGAATCAGAGACATTATCAAAGATATCTGAGTACTTCTTCTTCCTCTGAGGCAGCTGATGTTTGTGAGAAGGACGAGATCGGGGTGATGCTTTAAACCTTTTACTCAGAGGCTCATCAGGTGGCGCTGCGCGGCGTCGACGAATCCCGCTTCCTGATTGGTTACCAGCCACGTGATCAACAGCTCCTTGAAGTAACCTCTTCCCCGCTTCCTTGGCATGTTCTCTAAACGCCTCTCCGACATTCCGACCGGCTAAAGCATCTTGGGCAACTTGCAAACCCGTACCGACACCTTCTCTTAACAGGGCTTTACCGCCTGTCTTTAACCAAGGAAGAACCATGCGACCTAAACCGCTGAAGAAACTACCCAGACCTCGTCCACGTTGACTTCTTCCGCCGATAAATACCGGTAAGCCATGTCCTGCTTGTTGACAGTAAAAATCTTCGTACATTTCAGGACTTCGAAGTAAGGGCACGTGTTTCACCATTATTCTAGATTGAAATGTCTCCGAGTTCTAAAATGTAACGTCACCACCGAAGATCCAGTCTTGAATGGTATAGTTTTTCCCGTGTCGGTGGTTAAAAGTATTTCCACCGTGTCAAAAGAAAAACGACTCATAGGAACGTATTGTGGTTTGTCATAGATGCGAAACACAGAAGATGAAACTCTGTCCATAATAGGGACGGTACGCAATAAGGGAACCATGACATCACCCACAGGTCTCGCCGCGACGAGATCACAGTAGACGTAGACATTACTCATGTCGCTATCGATATCTACCTCATAATCACCGACTAGTGGTATGTCAGTGTTGGTCAGACACAGGTTGGTGAGGCCTAAAATAGATCTCAAGAGTTCGCATATAACAATCTTAGCGCCTTTCTCGTAAAGTTTCAGGACGACCATTTTCGTGTACTTGTTATAATGGATTCGCAATATCGCATCACCACCCTCCTCGTTTTCTAAAAGCAGTAGATTCAAAGCATCGATAAAATCTTCACCTGTCTTGTAGACACCAGCCGGTAATGTAATTTTCTGAGTTACCTTTTTGCTGTCCTGGGTGGGGTGTATTCGATCCAGATGTCATCTTCCAGGATATTAAAATAACTGCTGGGAAATTGAATCTCTGCCAGGCCGATTTCATACTGTGAACTCAATTCGATGGTCTGCGGTAGTTTGACGAAAAAGTGACCCGGTTTATTGTCGGGAAATATTTTTGGCGAGGCGTTGCTGGGTAGCGTCACGTAAAAACTCATGGTTGCTTTAAGACCGTCTCTATTTTCGGATTCGGTAATAGGTAACCCAAACAACTAGACAAGAGCACGATCCACAATTTTCCCTCTGCCTCACTCGCCGAGCCGTACGTCAGATTGAATAGTGATACACTGATGACGATGTATATAATCACCATCTGAGAGATGAAAACAACCTCAGGTCGCGGCCGTAGTTTATTGAACCACGATCGTTTACCGTCAGCTTCTGTTTCTGTTGCAAAGACGGTAATTTCATCCACTTCATCAACGGCTTCCATAACACTAATTTTCGTACCTCTCTAGTTGTTGGTCTGCTATCCAGCTGTTGAATGAGGTCGGATAACCAAACCACTTGACCAAATATTCTTTACCACCACGGGCACCTTGTCGTTCTTGTAAAATCTTTTCCACCCGATAAATTTCTTTGTCGCCAACTTTCTGTATTTCTTCCTTATAAAACGACCCGCGGAGTTCCTCACCCGAATCGTCTTTTAGCACATAAGTTACCGGGCTGGTTCTGTTGACGCGGCTGACGGTAAACAGCTCTTCGGTCCAGGAAGCCATATAACCTTTCTTGAATGTCTGCCTGGCCTGCGCGAGTCTCACACGATCACCTTCTTTAAACACAGGTATGCCGGGGCTGTCGACATCCGAATACAGTGTCTGCCATACTTGCTCTTGGTTACGCCGGTTAACGTCCACGGGGGCCATACGAATGCTGCGGTGATAGGAATGGTTGTAATTTCGCAAAAAGAACTCCAACACATCGATATAACGGTGCTTGTTGGTTTTGGTGAAATAACGCCACATTTTTTCTTTCAAGGTGCGGTTAAATCTTTCCACCACCGCCGCTTTAACATCTTCATTTTCTGTCGTGAAAAAATGCACGCCCTCGTCTTTAAGAAACTTTAAGAACGTCCGATTAAGGAACTCTGATCCTTTGTCACTTTGTAGTTTCATTGGCTGCCGCTCGGTAAATATTTACTAAACGCCTCCACTAAAGCTTTTCCAGTTTTGGTTTTTATGGGAATGGCCCAAGCATATTTACTGAACACGTCTATACAAGTAACAAAGTACGCCATACCGTCGTTGTCTTTTCGTAAAGATCTCATATCTATCAGATCAGCTTGGAATTGTTGGTTGAGTCCACCGGTTATAATCGGACGTCTCTTAAAATGTCGCCGTATAGGTTTATGTAAGGTATATGTATCTTCATGACTGAGCCAATCTTTGATCTGTTTAGTTGGCACTTTTGCGTGTCGTTTTAAGGCTACAGCCCTACTATAGGCTCCCGGTTGTTTCGGATCATAGTAAAGTTTTTTCAGTTGCGTGGCCATTGTTCCCACTTTGGTGTAGGTATTTTAGACTTTTTGTTTTCTTTGTCTCAGTTTATACGACGAGACCGGTGGTGTCTCAGAGTCAGCTGTCTTCTTGACAGTTTTAGCCGGCGACGGTGAATGACTCACTGACTCGTTGTCTTCTGTTTTTAGTGTTACTGGTAGTGGCGGCGACGGTAGGGTTTCTGTGGGCGTTTTAATATCCACTACGCCCAATGACTTGTGTCGGTAATGATCCAGACGAGTCAAGTAACGTTGTAATGTCTGTTGATATAGTCGGGCTTTGTCACGAGGCGACAGCTCTTCATTTTCCAGGACATGTTGCATATGAGTATCCAAATCACGTAGGCTATCATTGACTGTATCAGGTGGTATATATTGTTTTTGAAACACAGAGTCCATCATACGCGGGTCGATCAATATCATTTTCTTGGCCATGGTTAGAAACCCAAGATACCTTTTACCACACTTAGTATTGGCGCTAATAACGCCCCGAGAAACCCACCGTGTTGTAAAATCTCTTTTCGCTTTTTGATTGAAAGTTTCTTTTTGGTGAGCGCTCTGAGGTTGTTTTTGTAACGACACAAACGTCTCTTCTGATCGGATGTCAGGGCGACATTACCTTTTAATACGTTGTAACAACATTCACAAAGTGTCTGTACGAGCTCCGGTGAGGCGGTTTTTATGATGTCTTTGGCTGTGTTGGCTTTCGCCTCGCACAAAAAACGCAGCATCTCGCCGTGTCGCTTTAGCTTGTCAGACATTATTTAGGTACGTACACTACTCGTTTCTCGTCGGGGAATATTTTCGCTGCGTAGTCTGAGCTGGTCTGGGGTGTCTTGTCGGAGGTCGAACAGCAAATAACCGTGGGGGTTAGCCGTCGCGTCTTTAAAGCTTTCTTGGACGTAGGAAACGCGGCCGGGATACATCTGTTTGGCCAAGTTGGTGATCTGTGAACCGTCACGAGGGTTTTTTAAAAACTACCAGGTAATGCGCGTTCAAAACTGATGGTTCTTTGTTCTTTATTTTTTCCAAAAAGATTTTGTACAATATAAATCACGCTGATGTTGCGATGATGACTGCCTTTAGTAAATAGTTTTTAGTGATTCTGTCGTCCGTCTCAGACATCAAATCGTCTATGACCACTAGACGTCGTCTATCTCCCTGCCATTGTTCGATATCCGGAAGACCTTCGTTAAAGATGACGCCCTCCATGTTGTTATACAGAGGTTGCCATTCCCCGTAGCACCAAATAATCTCCTCCGGCACCGGGTCGACCATAGCGTTCAAATGTTTTAAAAACTTCTGCACAAATACAGTTTTACCGCTACCGGTAGGTCCGGCTATCAGAGAGGTAAAGGGATGCCTCCACCGCGGGTCCATAACTTATAATGATAATGACTGTTTCCAAACAGCTACTTTAATCGATTTGAAAACTATTCTTAAACTGCTTAACGTTACTAAGAAAAAGCACAGTTTACGACGACGCGGATGATGATGATGATGGCGCCCCAGCCCCACTTTCTCCCTACCATCAAACCACTTTCCTAGGTTTCTGTATCTATCCCCTAAAACGACCCCCGCGGGCGTGCGTGTGTACGTGCGTACAGACGGGCGGGCGGGCGTACCCCGTTGAGTGACACCAACTGCCGAGTTTTTCCTAAATCGACTGTTCCAGCAGAATAACCACTGAAGCCTACTGACCAATCAGAACCTTCGCCCACTTATTTACAAAGTCAGATAGTCTGCCAATTATGCCCCTTCTCTTCGACCCTCCACAGTATTACCAGACACCCAGCATTCTGTCGTCCTTTTTTACTACAGCTCAAACCATCCATGAGCGGTCGACCTTCGCTACCATGACATAGATGATGATGATGATGATGCCGGCGCCCAATCTGCCCTTTCTAATACATCCCCGATCATCATGCCGCCTTCCTAGTCGCCCCGGGTCCCCTGCCCCCGCTGCTCACCTAAATAGTGTTCCTGCCTGCCCCCGTTTTATATAACACCTCCTGTCACCTGCAGTTATGAAGAAAATACTGCATCTACAAAGTATCGATTTCCTAGGGTGCTTTGTATTTTTTTTTTTTTTTTTAATCCGCCACTTTAGCCAATATCTGGCCCTGCACTAAAGAAATATTTGCCTTTCCCCGTAAGAAAATACCCACACCCCAACATACCGACAATGAATAACCAGTTGCTATGGAGACAACATATCGATTTATGCATCATATGTCTTTCCCCACCCGGGAAACCCAGTCATGCATGCTGTCACCAACCACCCGATCGATATTTACTAAGGATAAAGAGAGCGGGTGCCCCGATCGATATTTACTAAGGATAAAGATGCTGGCGGTCGCAACCACACGTTCGTGTGGTTGCAACCACACGAAAGAACCAATCACTTTTGGCCGCCATCTTT